TAGAATCATAGGATAGTTAGGGATGGAAAGGAGCTTAAGATCATCCATCACCCCTTGTCCTATCACTCCAGTCCCTGATAAAGGTCCCTCTCCAGCATCCTTTTGGCCCCCTTCAGACACTGAAGCGGCTCTGAGCTCTCCAGCAGCTTCTCTTCTCCAGCCCCACTCTCCCAACCTGGCTCCATTTGGGAGCTGCTCCAGCCCCTGCTCATCCCTGTGCCCTCCAGCAGCTCCATGTCCTCCTATTGAGGACCCCAGAGCTGGATGCAGCATCCAAACGGGGGGTGACCAGCGCGGAGCAGAGGGGCAGGAGCAGCTCCTTGGACCTTCTCTTGCCCTCCCAGCCTCCCGCTCCTTCCTCCTCTACAACGAAGACCACCGCAAGTGCATTGAGGCCAATGGGCACCAGTTGACGGCGACAACGTGCCAGCCCGGTGCTGCCACCCAACGCTTCCAGTGGCTCCAAGGAGGCCGGTTGTGGTGCTGGGAGAGCCAACGTTGTGTCACGGCCACCCGTGGCCAAAACCTGGCCCTGGTGAGGCTGGAGCCGTGCCGGGATGATGCCAAACTGCAGCGCTGGGAATGCCGGGATGGAGGGTTGCTGGCGCTGGCTGGATCCAACCTCTTCTTCAACTATGGCAACAACCAGCAGCGCACGGTGATGCTCTACACCGGGGACCGCCAGTGGAGCCGCTGGGTTGTCCATGGGAGCAGGGATGACGTCTGTTCCCGCTCCTGTAGGTGCCAGCATCCTTCATCCCAAGGCTTTTAGGCTTTGCTTTAAGCCTACGCTGGGTGGAAGTCGGTCCTAACCCGGCAGGGATATGGTTTAGGCTAAACTCAGGCTGCAACAGGGCATTAAACCTGAGCTGAGCCTTTTAGGGTGGCTTAACATAACCTAAACCAAGCCCAGACCCTAATGGGGGCCTAACCCTGATCTATGTGTCTTAACCTAACCCTAAGTTTGACCTAAGGGATGTCAAGCCTCAATGGTGTCCCAATCCTTAACCCAGCTCAAACTCTAAATAGATGTGATTTTACCCAGCCCTAAACTAGCCCAAAGCCCAACAGGACCTTAAGCATAAACCATTTGTAGCCCTAAATATGTAGGATTTAAAGTAACCCTAATCTAGCCCCAACCCAAATAATCCTAACCTAGACCTAACCCTAAATAGATAGGATTAAATATATAGGATTGATATTAACCTTTAAATACATAGGATTAGTGCTAAAGAAGCCCTAATCCCAGTGAGGTCCTAATTCAAGCTAAGGCAGAGCTAGGATTTAAGACAACCTTAATTTAGCCTAAAATTCAGCATGGTCCTAACCCCAACCCAGTTTTAACCTTAAATATATAGGACCAAAGCTAAACCCAAATCCCAATGGGACTCTAACCCAGTTTAAACCCTAAATAGACAGGCTTTAACCTAATCCTAACCCACTTTAAACCCTAAATAGGCTTTAATCTAATCCTATCCCAGTTAGAATCCTAAATAGACAGGCTTTAACCTAATCCTAACCCACTTTAAACCCTAAATAGGCTTTAACCTAATCCTATCCCAGTTAGAATCCTAAATAGACAGGCTTTAACCTAATCCTAACCCACTTTAAACCCTAAATAGGCTTTAACCTAATCCTAACCCACTTTAAACCCTAAATAAGCTTTAATCTAACCCTATCCCAGTTAGAATCCTAAATAGACAAGGTTTAACCTAATCCTAACCCACTTTAAACCCTAAATAGGATTTAACCTCATCCTAACGCAGTTAGAACCCTAAATAGACAGGCTTTAACCTAATCCTATCCCAGTTAGAACCCTAAATAGACAGTCTTTAACCTAACCCTAACCCACTTTAAACCCTAAATAGGCTTTAACCTAATCCTAACCCACTTTAAACCTTAGTGGGACCCCCTAAGCCTAAATCTATAGGATTTAACCTAAAGCCCAGCAGGGTTCTAAGCTCAGGGTTGTGCCTCTGGCCAGGGCTGCTTTATGGGCTCTTGGGGTGGGTGACCCCACTTTTCTGTGTCCCCTCTTCCCACAGGCTGCCCCCCCTGCTCCAAAGGGTGGACTCATTTCCAGAATTCCTGCTATTTCTACTCCAAGACAGCCAGATCCTGGGAGAACGCCCGGTCCTTCTGCTCGCTCCTGGGTGCTCAGCTCCTGGAGGTGGATGGTCCTGAGGAGAAGGTGAGGGGCACAGCCAGGGCAAGGGATGGGAAGGGACAGGGAAGCCTCAGGTGAAGCCCAGGAGCCCTACGATGAGCCCTGGGATGGGTTTGGGGTGACCCCACACCCCATTCTTCCCACAGGAGGGTGCTGCTGAGCCTCGCCTTAAGCTCTACCTAAACTTCAACCCGAAGTTCACACTCTAGTGCCTACAATTAAGCCCAACCTCATTCCTAATAGAGCCATCACCTTGATGCTGAACCAAACCCAGCTGAAACCTCTCCCTAACTCCATCCCTAAGCCTAAAATCCCTAAGCCTAAACCTAATCCTAACCAAACCCCCAGACCTATCCCTAAGCCTGACCTTAACCCTGTCCCCAATCACAGCCCCAACGTCCCAATCTGTAACTGTCAACCTATCCTAAACCTAACTCTACACCTACTTATAGGACTTGACCTAACCCTAAGCTAAGCCTAAACCCCAACAGGGCCTTACCCCAGCCCTAACCCTGACTATATAGAACGTAAGACAACCCTAAATTAGTCCAGACCCCAAAGAGGCTCTAACTCAGCCCTAACCCTACATACGAAGGGCTTAAGCTAACCCCAAGGTCCTCCAGACCCCCATGAAGCTCTAGCCCAGCCCTATCCCTAAAGACTAAGCTAATCCTAAACCCATCCAAACTCCAATGAGGCTCTAGCCTAACCCCAACCCCAAATACACAGGGCTTAAAGCTCACCCTAAGCTCCGCTATGAGGCTCTAACTCAGCCCTAACCCTGATAATACAGGACTTAAACTAGTCCTAGGATAGTCCAGACCCCCACGAGACCCCACCAGGGCAGAGGATGGGTCAGTATTGAGAGGTGTTACGGCATCACGTCCCCCCTCCTGCCCGCTGCTGTCCCCAAGGGTTTTGGGGGGCTGTGCCATGGGGTGATGCTGCCTTTGCCCCCCCCCAGGCTCACATCCAGAGCATGCTGCAAAGCTCCTCCTGGCTCGGCATCAGGGATGAGGAGGTGGAAGGCACCTGGAAGCGAGCAAACGGGACCATCCTCCCCTGGGAAAGCAGGTAGAGCCCTGGGGGTGCTGGGGGACGAGGGGACACCCCTAAACTGTCCTGATCCCCCCACTTTTTGTCGCAGCTCGTGGCACAGGAGCGAGCCCAACGGTGGGCACCAGGAGAACTGTGCAGCAGTGAGGGAGGATGGGCTGTGGTACGACTACCCCTGCACCAGCCAGCTCCCTTGGGTGTGCGAGGGACACCCCTAAAGGGCACCAGGGGCACCCCAAGACTCCCCCCCTCCAGCACCCAGCACCCCC